TTGATGAAAATATTATGATTTTTTTCTTTGCTAATACACCAAAAAGTAATAGGAAATTAAAGAGGACTGGGTGATTTTTTTTTTTTTTTTTTTTGACAGGCAGAGTGGAGAGTGAGAGAGACAGAGAGAAAGGTCTTCCTTTTTGCCGTTGGTTCACCCTCCAATGGACGCTGTGGCCGGTGCATCGCGCTGATCCGAAGCCAGGAGCCAGGTGCTTCTCCTGGTCTCCCATGTGGGTGCAGGGCCCAAGGACCTGGGCCATCCTCCACTGCACTCCCTGGCCACAGCAGAGAGCTGGCCTGGAAGAGGGGCAACCCGGACACAATCTGGTGCCCCGACCAGGACTAGAACCTGGTGTGCCGGCGCTGCAAGGCGGAGGATTAGCCTGTTGAGCGATGGCGCCAGCCTGGTTGAATTTTTTTAAAGATATATTTGAAAATCAGAATTACAGAGAGAGAAGAGACAGAGATCTCTCTGGCTCACCTCCTATTGGTGCCAACTGCCAGGGCTGGGCCAGGCTGAAGCCAGGAACCAGGAGCTGCTTCTGGGTTTCCCCATGTGGATTATTTTATTAAATTTTACTATTAAAAATTCAATGTGTTTTATCCAAAATGGCTTGGGACCAGAATTGTTTTGGATTTTGGATTTAAAAGACACTGGGAATATTTGCATACACATAATGAGGTATCTTGGGGATGGGACCCAAGTCTAAACATGACATTCATTTGTGTTTCATATGTACCTTATACAAATAGTCTGAAGATAATTTTGTACAGTATTTTTGGTATGCCTGTGTTTTGACTGTGCCCTGTCACATCAGGTCAGGTGTGGAATTTTGTGTTGATACTCAAAGAGTTTGAGATTTGGAGCATTTTGGATTTGTTGCTCAACCTGTATCTCTGTTCTTGAGGCTGTTGATACATTTGTTGTATTTGTGATGGAGATACTGTCTAAAAATGTGCTCAGCTCTCTTCAGTGATGACACAATGGAGATAACCATGAAAACCAGCAAATACTGTAAATCAGTATCGTTGCTGTAACAAAAACGTGAGATAGCTACTTAGGAAGAAAAAGGAGGCTTCTTGAGCTCAGTTTGGAAGTTCCTGGGGGTGGTACTCTTGACTGCGTCACATCAGGTGGATGCAATGGTGACAGCAGGTGCAGGAGGAAGTGATTACCTAAGGACAGACCAGAGACTGGCTGAGGCAGGCTCAGGTTTCTGTAACAGCTCTTGTGAGAACTACCTAGGAGTTGCAGGAGGGCTGTCTTGATTCTTTCCTAGGGTAGGGTGCCCAGTGACCTCCCACCACCCCAACACTACTACACTGGGAATTGAGCCCCCAGCACAGGGACCCTTGCAGGACAAAGTGTCACTTATTTTTTTCACTCACCACATCCAAACCATAGTGGTTTTGATTTTTTGGATCTATAGTTAAGCCTTTTTACTTTGACCAAATCATTTAAACTCTGTAAGCCTCCTGTTCCTCAATATTGAAGTGAAGATGATGATAGTACTTCATACAGTGGTTTTGAAAACTATTTGCCATAGTGTTTGGCTATTAGTAACATGCTCTCCATATGGGAGCTAACATCCTTAATACCAAATTCTTTTATGTATAAGTTGCTTAAAAGGTAGGTATGAGAGTTAGTAGTAAGTGAAGGCATACATAAAATACTTAAATAATGAAAGCAGATGAAGCAAAGGCAGATTATGTGTAAGGTGGGCTAAGTATTGTCACCTTTGTTTGTTCAGAGTAAAGGTTAAATACCAACCATACCAACAAATAGTAAGACTATCTCTTCATTACTGAAATACTAAACCACTGCTTCAGTTATGTAGATAGATTATGGGTAAACATAGATGTTTTTCCTAAAATATTTTGTAGTCCAATTGCTAGAGAATAGAATTTGGATAATGAAGGGATTCTTAGTTCTTTTAGTAGTATAAGTTGCATATTGGCCTCTTAGCCATGTTTAAAATTTCACAATTTCCCTTTTTTGCCTTCTCAAATCTGTTCTTTGGAATAGCTGTTAAGTCATTCAATGTCCACATAATAAAATGGAGTAGGAGGCAGAAAAAGGAGTGTTGATAATCCACCTCTCAGTATTACTAGGAAGTTGTATTTATTTGCTATTTTGTTCTAGGTGCCTAGATTTGATACTGTGTTGCCGCTTTTTATCCCTAGTATTGATTGGGTTTTCCCTCTTTTTTCTACTCTGCTACCTCTATTCCTTCTGGAACCAGTAGTATAATGGTAAGTATATAAATAAAATTTACAAAGTTTTTGACCTAGTGAGGATTTTTTTACCCTCACCTGTTTTGGTGAAAACTTTGTAGACTCCAGATGGTCTCTGTGGTTTCCCAGGTTTTCATTGTTGCTTTGTTTGTGTGTAGATTGGTAAAATTTTAGTTTTGAGGTACTCCTGTCCTTGCATGCTGTGTCAGATAGCATCCGTTGTTTGTGTGTTTCATTGTCATGTTTATCTTGGAGCTTGCATTCTCCTTTTTCCCTTCTTTCTGCTTTCTCTCTTCTAGTGGAGGGGGCAAATGGGTGGGAAGGAGAAAAGACTTCTATTTCACACATGCACTGCTTTTATTTTTTGCCAGGTTTTTGCCAGCTACATCTCTGTGAGACGTTTGCTCTGTACATATTACAAACATAATTGCTGTTATCTTTGAGCAGAATTATAGATTGAGGTCAGCGCCGCGGCTCACTAGGCTAATCCTCCGCCTTGCGGCGCCGGCACACCGGGTTCTAGTCCTGGTCAGGGCGCCGGATTCTGTCCCGGTTGCCGCTCTTCCAGGCCAGCTCTCTGCTGTGGCCAGGGAGTGCAGTGGAGGATGGCCCAGGTGCTTGGGCCCTGCACCCCATGGGAGACCAGGAGAAGTACCTGGCTCCTGCCATCGGATCAGCGCGGTGCGCTGGCCGCAGTGCACCGGCTGCGGTGGCCATTGGAGGGTGAACCAATGGCAAAGGAAGACCTTTCTCTCTGTCTCTCTCTCTCACTGTCCACTCTGCCTGTCAAAAAAATAAAATAAAAATAAAAAAAAAGAATTATAGATTGAGCCCACCATTAAATGATACTTTTTTCATTGAAACCAATTTCACTCTGCTAAATTTTCTATCAAAATCTGTGTTGTGTAATTTCTTGTTTCTAATTTTAAGATTTTTGAGCTTTTAAAGTATTTCTAAGAGAGATGTTTTTAGAATTTATCAAAGCAAAATCTGTTACGCTGTTGCCTTAAAACTTTGTATTTTAATTTAATGAAATGTGATTTACCACCGTGCCTAATATTTCATTTTTAAGACATAGTTTATGAATTATAATTTAATTGGTTAAAGCAATGAGGCTGAGAGCTAGTTGTGGCACAGCTGTTTTTGGTGCTGGCATCCTATATTGGAGACCGGTTTGAGTCCTGGGTACTGTCCATCTGATCCAGCTTCCTGCTAATGTTCCTGGAAACAGCAGATGTTAACTCAAATCCTTAGGCCCCTGCCACCCATATGGGAGACCAGGGAGTTCCTGGCTCCTTGCTTTGACCAGGCCAAGACTTGGCTGTTGCAGCTATTTGGGTAGTGAACCAGAGAGTGGAAGGTATCCCTGTCCTCCACCTTTCCCTCTCTCTGCTGCTGCTCTGTCTTAAATAAACAAATAAATCCCTTTTGAGGCTAGATTTTGAATACTAAAATTCAGTTAACTTTGAGAAGCCTCTTTCATGAAGTTATACCATCAAAGAAAATGTCTTAATGTTATTTTTTGTGAAATACAAGAAATTGCTTAAAAGAGCAGACAGGTACAAAATGGATACTGATGCAGTTCTTAGCAGTGCATACAAGTAGAACCTTGCCAGCATCCCAGAGACACTTCGCTGTATCTGGTTATAAAACTCTTTATTCTTTAAGTAGTCATAATCTATCTTTATGAGTGGTTTCTCTCCTTTGTTTTGTTATTTATGTATGCATTTTTAAAGAATCTTTAATTTGGCTGGCTTGATATAAATGGAATCATTGTTTTTTGTTTTGAGTCTTGCTTCTTTCCCTCAATATTATGTTAGTGAAATTCATTTGCATTATGTGTCACTGTAGTTAATTTTCATTACTATGTAGTATAGAGTATGTAATACTGTAGTCTGCTCTGTCAGTATATCAGAATTTATTTAATTATTCCATCGTTTGGTTTTTACTTCCATTTTGCTATTGTGAATGCTGCTACTGGGTGAATATTGTGTTAGCGTGAATTCTACACATGTGTACAGATCTCTTTAGGACAGTATTTGTGTGTGGTCCTAAGGCCCTTACATTGGTGTTGTCACCTGTGTGAACCTACTAGACATGCAGATCCCTAGGCCCTAGGCTCAGTCAGTATCTCTGGGAAGCTGAATCATGTTCTGTAGATGAGTCTGCTCACAGTTGAGAAAATTTGAGAACCATGGCTGTGGAAGATGCACAGGCCTAGAAGTAGAATTGTTGAATCTTAAATTGGATACCTTTAGCTGCTTCTTCCTTTTTATAATTTTTTTTCTAAAATTTGAGAGGCAGGCAGACACTCCCTAAACACGCACAATGGCTAGGGCTGGTGTGAGGCTGAAGCTGTGAGTGGGGAACTCAATCCAGGTCTCCCAAATGGGTGGCAGGGATCCAGTTATTTGAGCGGTCACCACCACCTTCCAGAGTGTATGTTAGCAGGGAACTGGAAGAGCTGGGGTGAGTGGGTATCCAGCCTAGGCGCTGACACTGATACGGCACCTCTATGTCTGAACACCTGGCCAAAGGCTCCTTTGTTGTACTTTCATTCAGCTTCACGTTGTTAACGGGTTTCCACTGTTTTCTCAGTTTTTCACTTAGCACTTGGAGCCATTTGAGAGTCTATTTCTCTGCATCCTCTGTAATGATAAAAATGATAAATATTGTCAATGGTTTTTTTAAATTAGAATTTAATTGTTTTGTGAGTGTGTGTATCTATGTAGTTTGTGTCTTGTGTTTTTTTTGCCAGGCAGAGTTAGACAGTGAGAGAGAGACAGAGAGAGAAAGGTTTTCCTTCCATTGGTTCACCCCCCAAATGGCTTCTACGGCCAGCGTGCTGCGCTGATCCGAAGCCAGGAGCCAGGTGCTTCCTCCTGGTCTCCTATGCGGGTGCAGGGCCCAAGCACTTGGGCCATCCTCCACTGCCTTCCTGGGCCACAGCAGAGAGCTGGACTGGAAGAGGAGCAACAGGGACAGAATCCGGCGCCCCGAATGGTACTAGAACCCGTGGTGCTGGCGCCTCAGGTAGAGGATTAGCCTAGTGAGCCACAGGGCCGACATGTGAGTTCATTTTTAACTACAGTTGAATTTTGGCTTTTCAGATGGACTTCTTAGATTTACTGAGGAGTTTCTAAAGAATATTATAAAAATTTTCATATGTACATGAAAGTAGAAATACTATTATGAACCAATAAACTTCCCCATTATCTATACTCAGTAGTTGATTATAATTGGCCATATTTGTTTTGTCTATCTCTTCTCTAAATTACTTTAAGAATAAATAAAAATCTCAGATATGTCATTTCATCCCTGCCTGCTTTAAGCTTGTTTAAAATGCTATACACTTTATATGATGATAATGTCATTTGCTGAGGATGTTTTTTATTTAAAAAATTTAGAGAGGCATCAATCCAGGTTTTGCTGTTAGGAATAAATAAAATTTTTAGAGTGCTTAGAAATGTGTCACTTCTTTGATAAAACTCATTGTGTGTTATGATCCTGTCCTGGTTAATGACTACAGTAGATAGCTAAGACATTATTCCTAGAAGCAGCTCTTGGAAAGCCCAGGCATACAATCTTTTTTTTTTTTTTTTTTTTTTTGACAGGCAGAGTGGACAGAGAGAGAGAGAGAAAGGTCTTCCTTTTGCCGTTGGGTCACCCTCCAATGGCTGCCGCGGCCAGCACGCTGCGGCCGGCGCATTGCACTGATCCGAAGCCAGGAGCCAGGTGCTTCTCCTGGTCTCCCATGCGGGTGCAGGGCCCAAGCACCTGGGCCATCCTCCACTGCACTCCTGGGCCACAGCAGAGAGCTGGCCTGGAAGAGGAGTAACTGGGACAGAATCCGGCGCCCCGACTGGGACTAGAACCCGGTGTGCCAGCGCCAAAAGGCAGAGGATTAGCCTATTGAGCCACGGCGCCGGCTCCAGGCATACAGTCTTTCACTTTACCTCTGCTGCTGGCTTGCTCTTTACTTGTACCAAGTTCAGTACCTTTTTGTTTTGTTTTGTTTTGTTTTAAAGATTCATTTATTCACTTTAAAAGCAGAGTTAGAGATTTTGCATCTGCTGGGTCACTTCCACTAATGGCTACATTAGCCAGCCCAAAGCCGGGAGCCAAGAACTTCATCCTGGTGTTCATGTGGGTGGCAGGAGCCCAAGCACTTGGGCCATTTTCTGCTGCTGTCTCAGGCACATTAGCAGGGAGCTGGATCAGAAGTGGAGCAGCTGGGACTTGAACTGGTGCTCACATGGGATGCTGGCATTGCAGGTGGCAGCTTAACCCACAGTCACAATGCTGGCCTCAAGTTCAGTACCCTTAATTGGCACATCCCCATCTAAATTTGCAGCAGAATGAAGAACACAGAATTTTATAATTAAGTAGTATTTTTAAGTGGATCTACTGTGTTGGACATTGTTAGGTAAAAATGGAAATATAGGAAACCTTCAGGGTAGATAGGAAAGCACAAATTAAATAATTTGCTATTAAACAGTATGGAAGGGTGCTTAGTAATTTTTGGTGGCTTTTGCATTATGGTTTTTCAATTAAATACTAAATCATGCTGATCAGGAAACACAGGTATGTAGTATGTGTTAATATAAAAATGTAAATTAGGTGTTGGAAAGGAATGAGGCTAAAGTTGGGAGAGAACAGATGATACAAGAATTTGTATAATGAATAAAAAGTATGTGTTTTTTAAAAGATTTCTTTATTTATTTTAAAGTCAGAGTTACAGAGAGGGAGGGAGAGACAGAGATCTTGTATCCCTTGGTTCATTCCCCAGATGGCGACAATGACTGTGGCTGGGCCATGCCAAAGCCAGGAGCCAGAACCTTCATCCAGGTCCCATACATGGGTGGCAGGGGTCCAAGTACATGGGCCGTTTTTCACTGCTTTCTCCAGGCGGTTAGCAGCCAGCTGGATTGGAAGTGGAGCAGTTGGGACTTGAATCAGGGTCCATATGGATGCCAGCGACACAAGCGGTGGCTTTGCCCGCTAAGCCACAATTGCTGACCCCTGTTGTGTGTATTTTAAACAGTGGAGTGATAAGATCAAATTTGTGTTTTGAGGATAACTTGTAAGATCAGTTTTGGAGAGAGGGAGGGCAAGGGAAGGTATGTGGTAGTGCAGGAGAGAACAGTAGTCGATACCACAGGGAATAATAGGTAGTGGTGGTTAGATGTTGGGTGGAGATGGATGTCTATAGAAGTGGTTGAATTTGACAGATACTCAGGAGGTGAAAATCCACCAGGTTGGTGAGAGCTAGAGATTAAACAGGTATGGCTACTGAGAAGCAGTGATAATACTGGCTTGACTGGTCTGTCATAGTTTTTTTTTTTTTCTTAACTCTTTGATAGACTAAACTTTTTAATTAAGCTCACTAGCAGTCAACAAATGGAATTTTTGTCATAAACAAGCTTTTTCAAATGGGTTTTCAAATCCTCTTGCCCCTTTTAAATGTATGTATTTAAGAGACAGAGAAACAGTGACACAGAGGTCTCCCATCTATTGTTTTCTCTCCAAATGCCAGCAATTACTGGGACTGGGTTTTGCAGAAGCCAGGAGCTGGGAACTCATTCCAGATCTTCCATGTGAGTGGCAGAGACCCAACCACTTGAGTCATCACCTGCAATCTCCCAGGCTCAGCATTGGCAGGATGCTGGAACTGGACACTGAAGCTAGAACTTGAACCCTGGCACTCCAGTATGGGACCAAAGCATCTTAACTACTAGACCAAACATCTGCCCCCTAGTTCTCCTGTTGAAACAGATATTCAGATATTTTGAACAGTTTTTAATGACTTATATCAGGAGTCAGCAAACTTCTAGGAAAGGGACAGATAGTAAATATTTTAGGCTTTGCAGACCTTTTAATTTCTTTGCCTCTTTGTAATGTGAAGTGAGCCATAAATATATAAATGAATGTATGTGTTCCAATAAAACTGTACTAGTGGGCACTGTAGTTTTAATGTGTCAGTTTTTTTTAAAGATGTATTTATTTATTTGAAAGCCAGAGTTATAGAAGCAAAAAGAGACAAACAGACGGACACACACACACGCGCGCACACATCACACAGAGAAAGATCTTCTGTCCTCTGATTTACTCCCCAAATGGCTGCAATAGCCAGGGTCAGGCCAGGCTGAAGCCAGGAGCCTGGAATTCCATCCAAGTTTTCCACATGGATGGCAGAGGCCCCAGCACTTAGGCTGCTGTCCACTGCTTTCTCAGGTGAGTTAGCAGGGACGTGGATTGGAAGTGGAACATCTAGGACTTGAACTGGTGCTCGTATTGGATGCTTGTGTTGCAGGCTGCTTGACACACTGGGCCATGATGCTGACTCCGTGAAATTTTCTTGTGTTTAAAATATTTTTTTTTCCAACCATTTAAAATGTGGGAAATGTTCTTGATTCAAGGACTCTGCAAAAACAGGCTATGTGGGCAGGTGACCCCTGGGCCCAGACTTTACCAACTCCAGAATTAGTCCATCTGTTACGGCTTTATAAGAAACTTAAGATCGGGGCCAGCACTGTGGTGGATTAAAGCCTTGGCCTGAAGCACCGGCATCCCATATGGGCACCGGTTCGATTCCCTGCTGTTCCTCTTCTGATCCAGCTCTCTGCTGTGGCCTGGGAAAGCAGTGGAAGGTGGACTAAATCCTTGGACTCCTGCACCCATGTGGGAAGACTCAGAGGAAGCTCCTGCTCCTGGCTTCAGACTGATGCAGCTCCGACTGACGCGGCCATCTGGGGAGTGAACCAGTGGATGGAAGACCTCTCTCGCTCCCTCTCCTCTCTGTAACTGTTTCAAATAAAATAAAATATTTTTAAAAAAGAGAAACTTTTAAGATAAGTAGGCTGTTTTAAATATTAATTCCTTTCATTCCCAAGGAGTCATAAGTCCTTAAGTTTATAATGCTATATTTGATTCTTCCACTTGCCAGTTTAGGGGACCCAAGAGACAGGAATACACGTAGAACTAAGGAACTACTAGCAAACCCAGTATAGATACGGGAATATTTAATACAGAGAGAATTTCCCAAAGAACAGTATCTTTAAGAAGGTAATTAACACATTCTGAAGAGAAGTAGTTAGAGGTCAGCCATTGGCGGAAAGAAAGTTAGCATTTGTCAGACAACAAATGTGCTGAGAAAGTAGAAGGAAGGTAGAGTTGGGTTCCAGTGCAGTCGCAGGTTGCTTGATCTTGAGGAGTTGGTATACCTTCTGTTAAACTTGAAAACTCTTGTAGAACCAGCCCTGTAGTTCTAACTCAGTTCTTGACACGATAAATCACAGTTTAAATTATGTATGTATTGTATTAGGAAATTGTAGCAGCATTGTTTCAGTGTAAATAGTAGTACCTCAGGTTTTATTTGTGTAAACAATATGATTACTGTCTAGCCAACTGCTGCAGTTAGAACTGAACTTTTAATTATGATACTAAACTGTTAATGTGGATTTAGCCTTCATGGTCACCTGTTCATTTGTCATGGTACCTCTAAAAAATTAAATTATTGACAGTAACAGAGAGCACTTTTAACCAAATACATATAAGATTGTGAGGCATCAATGCCAAAAGGGTACTAAAGAAAAAAATCTTACCTGGGCAAGCATTTAAGGGTGCTCGCATACCACGTTGGAGTACTTGAGTTTGATGAATGCCTCTGGCTCCTATTCCAGCTTCTGGGAGGCAGCTGGTGATGGTTCAAGTAATTGCCACCTACTTGGGAGACTTGGATGGAGTTCTTGGCTCCCAGTTTTGAGGAATGAAGAGGCAGATGGGAAAACTCATGTTCTCCCCCATCCCCGATATATATATCTGCCTCTCAAATATATACATGAAAAATTTTAAAGCCCTATCAAATGCTAGGGACATTTGCATTTGATTAAATATCTTAAAAACACTTATTTGGTAAAGAATGTAGTGTTTGTGATAAATTTATGTGAAATACACGAAATACTGAATGGAATTTATGGTCAGTGGCAAATCTCTGTCTACAACATCAAAACCAAGTAACTTTCAGCTGAAAACAATTCTTTTAAATTTTAAAACTATTTATTTGAGAGGTAGAGTTACAGAGAGAAAGATCCCATCCACTGGTTCACTCCCTAAATGGCCACAATGGCCAGAGCTAGATCTCTCCAGAGCCAGGAGCCAGGAGCTTCTTCCTGGTCTCCCATGTGATGCAGGGGCCCAAGCACTTGGGCCTTCTTCTTCCACTTTCTCAGGCCATAGCAGAGAGCTGGATCAGAAGAGGAACAGATGGGACATAAACAGGCGCCCATATGGGATGCCAGCACCTCAGGTGGAAGCATAGCCCACTACACCACAGCACCAGCCCCAACATTAGACTTTTAAAAAAAAATTTTTTTTTAGGAAGAGAAAGAGAGCAAGTATGTTCCCATCCCCTGGTTCACTCCCCACATTCTTGTACTAGCCAGGAGTGGGCCAAGCTGAAACTGGGAGTTAGAAACCCAATCTGGGTCTCCTAGGTGGGTAGCAGGGACCCAACCACTTGAGCCATCACTTACTGCCTCCTAGGGACTGCATTTGCAGGAAGCTGGAATCCAGAGTGGAGCCAGGACTTGAACTCAGGTCCTCTGATTTGGGACACAGTCGTCTTAACCTCTAGGCCCAATGCCACCACTTGGTAATTTTTTTAAAGATTGATTTATTTATTTGAAAGGCAGAGTTAGAGGCAGAGAGAGAGAGGTCTTCCATTGTTGATTCACTCCCCAGATGGCTGCAATAGCTGGGGCGCCAATCTGAAGCCAGGAGCCGGGAGCTTCTTCCAGGTCTCCCATGCGGTTGCGGGGGCCCAAGGACTTGGGCCATCTTCTACTGCTTTTCCAGGCCATAGCAGAGAGCTGGATTGGAAGTGGAGCAGCTGGGACATGAATCAGTGCCCATATGGAATGGTGGCACTGCGGGTGGCGGCTTTACCTGCTGCACCACAGCACCAGCCCCCACTTAGTAATACTTTTTGAAATCGTGGTTATTATTTAAAGTTTTAACTTTTATTACTTTTATCTTCTCACTTGCTAAATTAGTATAATAATATAGGGAGAAAGACTTATTTACAAGTAGGATGCCCAGTATTTTTTCTTTAATCCTTTTTTAAAAAGTCTGAGATACTTTTCATTGGGAAATCCAACCATAGAAGTGGGACAAGATTATTTTTGTTCTTTCCTGTGTTTTCATACATGCCTGTACAATTCTAACAGCAATGCTTTTGCCACTTCTTGTTGGTCTTCAAGCCTGCTGAGCTGGGTTTTTTGTTCATTTGCTTCTTTAAGTAGCTGTTCTTGGAGGGTCCTTTCTTCATCTCTACATCATGAGTGAGTGGATCATTAAGATTTACTTGAGGAGCCAGTGCTGTGGCGTAGTGGGTAAAGCTGCTGGCTGCTCCACTTCCAATCCAGCTCTCTGCTGTGAACTGGGAAGGCAGTAGAAGATGGCCCAAGTCCTTGGGCCCCTGCACCTACGTGGGAGACCTGGAAGAAGCTTCTGGCTTTTGGCTTTGGATCAGCGCAGCTGGCTGTTGCAGCCAATTGGGGAGTGAACCGTTGGATGGAAGACCTCTCTCTCCCTACTTCTCCTCTCTTTAACTCTGACTTTCAAATAAATTAAATCTTAAAAAAAAAAAAAGCAAGTCCTCTAAGAATAACATAGTTTCTCATTTCACTCCCTGCTCTTTTGAAGTGCATATGCTTATGGGTTTACTACCATCCAGGGAGAATTTATACTGGGATTGTTTATCAGAAGAACGTGCCTCATTATGTTGCCTTTCTAGGCCTGGTCCTGTGGTTGAGTGGAGTGTGAAAACATTTAAATGCGTATTTTGTGTGGAACAGCAGTAGAAGGCACCGACTATTACATACCAAATAACTAGTGCAGATTTATGTTGAGAAAGTAACAGAGTGGGGTTAGCTGGGTTAAGCCGCCATCTGCACTGCTGGCATCCCATATGGGCCCTGGTTTGAGTTCTGGTTGCTCCACTTTCGATCCAGCTTCCTAGTAGTGTGCCTGACAGAGCAGCAGAAGATGGCCCGAGCGCTTGGGTTCCTGTACCCACATAGGAGACCCAGAATAAGCTACTGGCTCCAGGCTTCAGATCGGTCCAGCTTCAGCTGTTGTGGGGAATGAACTAGTAGATGCAAGATCTCTGTCTCTGTTTCTCTCTCTTTCTATCTTTTTGTAACTACCTTTCAAATAAATAAATCTTGAAAAAAAGAAAATAATAGACCTTGTGGTTTCTGCTCTATGGTTGCCACCTCACCTTCTCCTACTTGATAGAAATTTTTTATTTGTTTATTTTGCCTCTGATTCAGGTTACATCCTGGTAGTTGGCAGCATAATAAAGTCTCCCTAGTGTGTGTGTGTGGGGGGGGCATGGTGAGCCATTGCTTTAAAAATGTCATTAAATTGTTCAGAGCTACCTTTTAAAAAATTACTTAGAAAAAGAGAAAGATCCATCTCCCCTGGCTCACTCCCCGGATGCCCACAACAGCTGGGTGTGGGACAGGACCAGGGCTGAAGCCAAGAGCCAGGAACATAATGCAGGTATCCTACATGGGTGGTCTCCAGTCATTGTGCTGTCCCTCTGCCTCCCAGGATCTGCATTACTGGGAACTTGGAGTCACGGAGACAGTGTAGTGAACCCCCAGTACTCAGGTGTAGGCTGTGGGCCTCTGACCCAGTAGGCCAGGTGGCTGCTCTCAGAGCTACTTTTTGATTGCAAAGGGGAGAATTGTGGAGAGGAAAAAACTCAAATTTGGTCAAGAAGGAAGACCTATTTGTTCATTGATTCCATGAATACTTAATTGAATATCTACTTTGCGTTAGTATAGTTCTATGAAATAGATATTTTGATATGGATACATGAAGATCTCTTTTTGAAAACCTTCCTTATGTTGTTGAATTCAGGAAAATTTTTTAAAAAGTTTTTATTTGGAAGTCTTAAAAATGTTGAATTGGTAGTTTCATTAAGATTATAACTGTTTCTATATATCTTTAATAAGTTTTTTTTAAAGATTTATTTATTTATTTGAAAGGCAGAGTTACATAGAGAAGGAGAGGCAGAGAGAGAGGAGTTGGCCTTCCATCTGCTGGTTCATTCTTTAGTTGGCTGCAGCAGTTGGAGCTGTGCCAATCTAAAGCCAGGAGCCAGGAGCTTCTTCTGGGTCTCCCACGTGGGTGCAGGGGCCCAAGGACTTGGGCCATCTTTCACTGCTTTCCTAGGCCATAGCAGAGAGCTGGATTGGAAGTGGAGCAGCCGGGACCCATATGGGATGCCGGCACTGCAGGCACCGGCTTTACTTGCTACGCCACAGTGCCCCTGTAATAAGTTTTAAGTCTAATGAATTTGTTGCCTGGTTACTATACTAATTTTGCTTTTAACTACTAATTAACTACTAATTTTGCTTTTATTTTCTTTAAAGAGACCAAAGAGTTTCTTTAGTTTCAGTAGTTTTTGAAAAAGGTACACACGGTAAGACTACAAATATAGGAATGATATTTATGTATATCCTATAATATGATAGAAATTATTTATAAGCCTTATGAGCAAAACCTAGAATAAAACAACCAATTGACAACTAATAAAGTATGTGGCTTTATTCCCAAGTTGAACCAGAGCTCATTATTAGTCTTTGTCATAATATTTTATGTAACTGAAGAGAATTGGAAATGGGTGTTTAGAAACAAATTATTCTTGGGTATTGAGCTTAATTGGGAGTTTTAACTGTGGCTGGTACAGATTTTTCATAGAGTTTTGCTTTAAGCCAATGAATGTAAATAGTAATGGCAGTGGTTAGAGTTCATTGTAATGATACTGTGAAGTAGGTAACATTTTTATCTCTTCATCTGACTCAGTAATCTACACACCATGGGAAACTCATGCATTGCTCTTGTTAGACTTAGCTAGCTCTGCAGGCTAGTGGGTGTTAGGTAGCTTTGTAGTGTCTTGGTGAGAAGCTGTGCCTGAAAGGGGCATTTCTCTATCTAGTGTGTGCATTCCCACAGCAGGTGCTATTACTTCTCCCCCACACACTCCACTGAGAGAAAATCCCCAGAGCAGAGGCTATGGCCCCATTGATAAAAAATAAACAAATAGACTGACTACCACTGGGTTCCTTGGATGTGTAGTTAAGTTTCTAAAATTACCCCTAAGAGCAGAGACCTTGGCAGTGAAGCATCTTCCTCCTCTTCTGGAATGAGGTTGTTTTTCACTTCATTGAAGAAGTAAGAGCTCCTTCACCTCTGTGTCTCTGGTGGTCATTCTGTGCCCTGCTTCGCTGGCCACTTTGAGGTTTCTCGTGGCAGAGAGTGTTCAGGGTGCAATAATAGATTTTACAAGTCCCGTTTCTGTTAGTGAAACCCATGGGTCCTTGTTCTGTTATTGGCTTACTTTCACACTTTTATTATAAATCAAGACCACCTTGTTGGTAATGCCACGTGGATTTCAGTTAGTTTTCCGTGGACCTGACTTGTCCCAGACTACTGTACTTGAGTTTCTCTGTGTTTTTGAATAGTCATTTGTTACTGCTCCTATCATCAGGTATTCGATAAGAGCAGTTGTGTCTCCTGTTTGACATTCTTCTGTAAGATGGGTACATTTTTAATACACTCGTGCAAATTCAGGAGAGACGTTATATTATTTGTTCATTTTCCTAGGGAAATAACCATGCTGCTCAGGGTGACCTTTATTTTCTAATCAAGTTGTAATTTTCATTATCGGGCACACATAAATTACAATGACAGGCACACATTCTCTGTCAGTTTGGCACACCATTAAGATCATTTGTAGTTACTGTAATCTGTAGGATTTGCAAGTTATGTATATTTAAAGTATCTGGACAACAAACAAGCAAGGGTATAGGATGAGAAATAAAGCTAATGGGATGTTTTTGGGAGTGGGAGGTGAGGGAGACAAAGTTGATTGATAGGCTAGAAGACAATAAAAGGATATGCGTACTAAGTAAGAAACAAAAGCAAAAAGGTGGTCATCTTTGCAGTGCTATTTTTAGGATTGTGAACATGCTAAAGGCATAAAATGTATGCACGCTGTTCTTGAATTTTATGACTTAAACAGTGGATGTAAAATTATTTCCAATTGGGCAAGGACGAATTATTTGATCTTCAATACTTAATCTCTTCTGGGTTTCTGAATTGTTTTCCAAATATGGGAAGTACATTTGTTAGAGATTGTCCAGAGTTTGCTCCTGGTGTAATTTTTTATATGGTTTTGTGGTACATAGACTTTTTGTGATGGTTGTAGCTTTTTTGTCTATAAGGTATTTTAACCTGCCTGCTCATGAGAGAGGTCTGGTAAACAGATGTGTGGGCTGCAGTTCTGGCTGCATGTCGACTAGTTTCAGGACGGGGCAGGAATTTTACCACCCCAAGTTTCCTCATATATAAAGGGAGATTAAAGTTGTGCCCCACCCCCACCCCCACCCCTGCCGGGCCCCCTTAAGGACCACTTACATTCTCCTAGAGTTGAGTCTGAATGTTGTGGGAGTAATTACAGTGAACATGGAGAAGTAGCTGTTTTTGGGCAACACTAGGGGAGTTGCTAGGTGTATAGTATGGCTTTTAAAATGTCTAATACCATTAAAATTTCTGTTCTGTGTTTGTTTTTATGAGGAACTAAAAGAAGGAAAGGAAATTACTTAAAAATATAAGGAAACCTTTAGTGCATATTTAAAGAATCATTGTAGGATATTTAATGTGTCATTCCAGCATGTTGATACTAATGTGAAGAAATTTGGAGTACCTTTCATTTATTCAAATATGATTCATAATAGGCATACAAGTTGGCATTAGGACTACCAAAATAGATCATAATTTTTACTTGAAATTGCTTCACTCATTTCCTCTTTGGCTTCCCATTAAAAATAGTAGTTTTACCAAAAAATGCCTGAAAAAAAATAAAGTAAAAGGATTGTCAACAAATGGGTAGGTAGAAGGGAATTATGAGTTTTTCTAATGCACTTAAAATACAGTTCTGACATAAACTAAGCTTTTAAAGCACGTCTGTGCCAGTTGGTATTACTGATACTAATTTTGTGTGTTCATTAAGGACTGCTTTTAATGGATTATTAGAGAATTAGGTAATGTAAATGGTAGTCTGGTTGAACAAGGTTGGCATGTATTCTACCTTGTTTTAGAATGTATTCTATATTGTGTTAGGATATTTGCTATTCTGCCATTTGAATTTTGCTAAGGTATAGTTTAACCCTGTCATTTTTTAAAAAGATTTATTTATTTTTATTTGAAAGAGTTACACAGAAAAAGGAGAGGCAGAGAGAGAGAGGTCTTCCATCTGATGGTTCACTCCCCAATTGGCTGCAACGGTCAGAACTGTGCCAATCTGAAGCCAGGAGCCAGGAGCTTCTTCTGGGTCTCCCACACTGGTGCAGGGTCCTAAGGACTTGGGCCATCTTCCACTGCTTTCCCAGGCCACAGCAGAGAGCTGGATTGGAAGAGGAGCAGCCGGGACTAGAACCGGCGCCCATATGGGATGCTGGTGCTTCAGGCCAGGGCATTAACTCACTGAGCCACAGTGCTGGCCCCTAACCCTGTCATTTTTAAACAGACGAGGTTTCACTTAGCTGCTGCTTCTCTGCCCCTTCGGCATCTTTACCACAGTAGCAGAATTTTTTAAAAGTAACCATCATTTATTGTAACTCATGTATCTGTAGGCCAGCAGGGCTTGGCTGATCTAGGCTTAGCTCCACAGGGTAACTCCCCTCCCTACAGATGTGGGGACAGTGAGAGTGATTGCTTCATTTTTCTTAAATGCATGCATTAGATTGGGCTTATACATCATCATTTTTATTTTTAATGACTTTTTCTATTCGTTTGAAAGGCTGAGATAGAGAGGGAGAGACAGAGGCCTTCCATCCACAGGTTCTCTCCCCCGAATGGCCGTAATGACTGGACCTGGACCAGACCAAAGGCAGGGCTGGGAGCTTCCTCTAAATCTCCCACATGGGTGCAAGGCCATCCTCTGCTGCCTTCCCAGGCTCACCAGCAGGGAGCTGGATTGGCAGTGGAGCCGCCAGGACCTAAACTGGCACCTTTTTACATGAGATGCTGGTGCTGCAGGCGTAGCTTAACCTGCTGTGCCACAGCACTTAGCCCTGGTAGCAGAAATTTTACCCATTAAAAAGTCATGATAGTTTAGAGAAGGTAGGAGTGTGCATCTGAGCCTGCTGTGGTTATTCAGGTTAGCATGTTTTCTGGAGAAATTTTTCTTAATAGCTAGTCCCATATGTATTTTCCACAAGCAAATGGGGAGTCTTCTCAGTTTAGACTCCAGACCTTCTATTGTGTATAATGCATCACATAACCATCAGACTTCTTAGCTTATGGCTTATGGAGCTTGGTTATATTTCCCTTCTGGTGGTTGTGGTAGTGGTGTGTTAGAAGCAATTTTACCTTTAAACTGAATTGGAAGAAAAGGTGCATTGTATTCCCATAAGCAATGCTTTGAGCCCTACTAACTGTGGTTGCAACTAGCAGTAATTAGAATTTCCCATTTTGTCTTTAATTGTGCCACTTTTGCCTCTGTTAAACTCACGCTAATGATATATTCATTTATGCATCCATTTAGATATTTATTGGATGTTAACTGCATGCTTGGGCAGAATGGAATATATAGAAGAAGAGCATCAATTTCTGCTCCACAGATACTATCACATTCAGGAGATGTACATGTAAGAAATGCTCTCATTGTTACAGCAAATGAAAATTATCAGTAAAAGGAATATACAAGGACATTTTGGTTTTGAGTTTTCTTAAAGGTTTCATTGAGGTAGAATTGATCTGGGCTTGAAGGAATAGAAGTAGATTTTTTACCATGAAGAGAAAAACAGTCTTTGCTTAATCAGGAGCAGATGCAGAGAGGTGTGAAGGACATGCTGTTGGAGGGAAATACACCAGATTTGTAGAAGGATAATGACGATAGGTGACTGAAAAGCCCCATGTGGGAAGGATGGCCTGCATGTGTGCAGTGATGCGAAAGAGCATCAAGAGCGGCACTGGGAGGGGCTCCAGCAGCTTAAGAACTGGAAGAGCTGAGTCCTGTCACTTTGTGTTTCTCTCCGTTTGTTCTCTAAGTGAACAATTTAAACCAAGAGAGTGTGCCAGCTCCTATTACTATGCTTTATTTCCATTACTGAAGATAGGAAATGGCAGCTACTGTTTTTTTATTGTCGTTGGTAGAGCAGAGGGAGGCCACCTGCTCTAAGTCTCCTGGACACATTCCTCTGTCATTCATTGCTGTCACATTCTGTGCCTGTATACCTCAGGAATACCTAAGCCTCTGATCCTTTCCTTCTAGAGATCCTTTAACTTAGAGTGCCTGGCTGAGATCACACAGCATAGATGTTTGTTTTAAGGGCAGTAAAAGAAAGGGAACAAGGAGCATCGGCTTCAGGTAGAGAACATGGATAATCGGTGAAGGGGAAGGGGTGGAATATTTGATTTATGAAAAAGGTTAACATAGAAGAGACTGACATCTGTCTAGCCAGCACAATGTAGTACTTGGTCATTTTTCTTTGTTTTTGGATCATGGTGTTGGTGAGAGGATATCTTCTTTCTCTGTTGTCTTCTTCACCGTCAGGGAGTTCTTGTAACTAAGCAAGTTGTGTTTTGATGACCACTTGGAGTGGTAGAATGATGACTTGAAGTGCCAATCCTAAAGTAGCATCTGGAGCTTTCATATTCTGTCAGCTCCAGCAGATTCTTCTTGTAGAAGTGATTTTTCTACCATTAAAAGCCCCTCAAATCTCACCTTTATTTTTCTTGCCAATAAATGTCTTCAGCAGACTCAAGTTTAGGGTCATCTTTTTTGCTTGTTATTGGTCCCTAGGAAGAAAACAATTAGAAATACTGAGAAGGGTTGGACCACTGGAGATATAAAGAAGAACCTTTTGGCCTTAGTCATCAGCAGTGGAAAAGTATTCACATTTATTATGTTGAAGATGTTTAAAGTAGCTTTGATGTAGCAGGTATGTCTCGTTTAGTTGTTGGGGAAAATTTTCCTTTAGTTGGTGGGAGTCTGGATTTTATTATTGAAGAGTACCTATTTTTTGGTTGGTACTGTTTTAAGACTAAGTGCATTGTCTGAAAATTGAGAAGGGGAAACTTGGTAAATGATAGCCATTGTTTACTAACTACCTATTGTACTTCATGCCCTTCGTATACATTGTAGTCTTTATCCTCACCAGGGTGCCAGTGTAAGTACTGAGAAGTCAGGCCTGGGGGCTTGCAGTGCCCAGATCACAAAAGCTTATCATGGAACTGGGATATTTGTAACCAGGTCTTTAGGACTCAAAATCCATATTTTCACTAGACTGCAAAGGCTAAAAAGTAGGTAAAAGTATAAATACATAATTGCCACATTGTCTTGGTGGAAATATGTATGAAGAAATACAAAGGGAAGGAATGATTAAGTCTGCTTTGGGGTGGAGCGTTTAGAGAGAGACTTCCAGAGAAGGGTGACACTTCAGCAGGATCTTGGTGATAGTCTAAGGGATCCTTAGGGACAGGTTTTTGGTGCAGGGGTTCAGATGCCCACATCTCTTTCGAAGTGCCTGGCTTAGGTTCTAGCTCTGCTCCCAGCGTTGGCTTGACCCAGACCTAATGTTGCAAGCATTTGGGAATGAACACCTTTCTCTCTAGAAATATGTAAGTAAATACAGCTCTTTAGGGTAGAAGAGGGAAGAGAGATGACACTGGTTTCATTATTGCTGCATATGCTTAAAAGAGAAGATGATGATCAGGCTCATCTCTGCTGTTGACTGCCAGTATACCGACAGGATCACGTTGCTCCCATCCCAGTGTTAGGTCAGTCCCATTTTCACATTGTGAACATTTGTAATATTTATATACTGTGTTGTAGAGATAATCTCTACAGTGTTTACATTCATTCTTTCTTTTTCTTTAGATAGCATATTTTTATTTACATATATTTCTGCAATTAAAGAGAATCATGTTGTGTGTACTATGTATGGATATTAATATAATTACTTAACCACAGCTTGATCATTTCTGAATTGTCTTTTGATTCAACTCTGGTTGAATCTTGAGTCCTTGAATATTTGCAGATATAGACTTCTTGTGCTCCCTCTCCCCATGAGTTCTGAAGAACCCTGCATTTATTCCGCCCTGTGTCACACAAGTAACATCTGTTATTCTGTGGACACCTCCTAGACTTTCTTCCCTCCTTCCTTTCCTTCTGTCCTCTACTCTCTAGTCACTTCTGGACCTGTCACAGTTACTGTATGTGGACTTCCCTTCAAATTTGTTTCCAAGAGGAATTTGGTTTTGTTTCCTTGTTTTGGTGAAGTGGAAGCTTCTTGAGACTGTATAAGAAGGGAGGTTTTGATGCCTTGTGTGTCTGGGAAAAAATATCAAGTGTGAATATGTAATACTCTGGTTATGTACTCTAAGTGAAATAAGTTTTCTTTCAGAATTTTGGAATAAATGTTACATTGGTTTTATAGCTTCAAGTGCTGTTGAGCAGAAAAATGCCATTCTGATTCTGAAACAGTTGATTCTAGACTCTCCAAAGATATTAATGTCATGAAAGATGAAAGAAAGTCCAGGGAGATATTTTGATGTTTCACTTTGCTCTTCTTTTCATTTTGGAAAACTTGTAGCCTTTATTCTCTATCCTAAATGCCCTGTTACCTCAGAGTAACAGACTTTGGTGTAACTATTTCTTTTAACTTGTTTTACTTATGTTCTTCCAGTCCATATATTCGTGAACTTCAGTTTGGGAAAATATATTATTTCTTTGATAGTTTCTTCTGTTTTCTGAATTCTGTGTTTATAATTGGTTGGATATTAGACCACCTGGAACAATCCTATGATTAATCTATTTTATTTGACTTGTGGTTCTACTTCCTGGGAGATTTAAAAGGCTATGTAGAGTAATGGTTAAGGAGTTAGGTTTCTAGAGCCAGAATTCTGGTTTTGTCAGTTTCTAGCTATACAACCTTATTATACAAGTTAAATTCAAAAGATGTAAATACATGCACGTTAATTCATCCAATGTGCTGAGATAGTTTTCTGGTACATAGTAGATGTTAATTTTCTTATTTAACATCATTATTACTTCAAGTTAATATCCCAACTGGCTATTTGAACTTTTAATTTCTACCAAATTTTATTTTTTAAGAGTTTTCTTCTGGTTTGCTGTTACTGTTTGATAGCCTCCTGTTTTTGTTTGATGGATGCAGTATCATCTTCAGTTACTGGGCTAATTGAGGACATTTGGAAAAAGCCTCTAACATAGAAGATGGAAGCCAAAACAAATAAGTAGAAACAAAATCAGATAAATAAAAAGAACAAAAATTCCAAATAGATAGAAATCTTTAGTAATTAATAAGATTTGTGATAATTATAGAATGGCAGAGGTTATGTTGAAATTTTCTTGTTTCCTGCATTGACTTTTATCATGGTCTCTGTGTCTGTGTATTTTTTTTTTTTTTTTTTTTTTGACAGGCAGAGTTAGACTGTGAGAGAGAGAGAGAGACAGAGAGAAAGGTCTTCCTTTTCTGTTGGTCACCCCCTTAATGGCTGCTGCGGCCGGCGCGCTGCACCTATCCGAAGCCAGGAGCCAAGTGCTTCCTCCTGGTCTCCCATGCGGGTGCAGGGACCCAAGGACTTGGGCCATCCTCCACTGCACTCCCGGGCCACAGCAGAGAGCTGGACTGGAAGAGGAGCAACCGGGACAGAACCTGGCGCCCCGACTGGGACTAGAACCCGGGGTACCGGCGCCGCGGAGGGTTAGCCTAGTGAGCTGCGGCACCGGCTGTGTATTTGTTTTGATACCTGTCATAGATATTGGAGACTTTCTCCAGATTTGCTCATGGTTAAGTTCAAATTGGTAAGTATACTCATACATCGTGCATGTCATGTGCTCAGTGCATCACGTCCGTGATCACATAGTGTCATTTTGTCCTTTTGTGATATTAAGTTTGAATATTTGTTTAAGGTGACATCAGCCAGTATTTTCATTGTAGAAGTACCCTTTTCTGTTAATTATGTGATCTTGGGTTGAAGCTTTCAGAATATGTCATTATCTACGTGCACTTTTGTCTTCTTTTTTAAATTTAGTATATTATAGTCTACAATGTCATTACTCATTTTGATTCACAGATTGTCCAAATTTGGCCAACAGGAGCCCTTTGAAGCCGACTCATGTTTATGAGTGTGTCCGTGACCATTTCTTAGGCTTGCAAGCTATCCTGGACTCACCTTATACTTTCCTTGCTCCAAACCTAGAATCAGCCATTTCTCTAACGAGTTGTGCTTTATTTGCTTGGGGGGATGATACTCGGAGATCTAAGATCTGGGCAGCTTCCTGCTACTGGAGTGTCATTGCTTCTAGGCCCTTTCAGTGGAGGGAGGTATGTGTTTCTTTCTGGCTATTTATTTTATACGTAGTTATGTTAATGTGTTTCTTTTTATATCAACTTTAGGTAGGCATTTTCCCCTCATCCTTGTTGATTTATTTTTGAGTCTGTAAATTAACATTGTTCAAAAATCAAATTTATTAAAAGGATTATCTTCTTCCCTGTGTGTTACAACACATTATCTGTGTGAAAGCTGCAGCTCAAGTTTATCCTTTCTAGTTTTCTTGCTGTGATAGCCACATATACCTGCATCCTTGTTTACTCTTCTTTCTTGCACGGCAGCCAACACAGTGTATGCACTGAAGATTGTCCTTTGAACCTTGATAGAATCTGCATATTGCTGCAGAGATACTCCTCATTTCTATCTTTCTTCTTATTTTTTTTTTTAAAGATTTATTTGAAAGGCAGAATTACAGGGAGAGACAGAGATCTTCCCATCTGTTGGTTCACTCCTCAAATGGCCACAGCGGCTGGAGCTGGGCCCGTCCAAAGCCAGGAGCTTCCTCTGGGTCACCTATGTAGGTGCAGGGGCCCAGCACTTGGGCTGCCATCCACTGCTTTTCTAGGTGTATTAGCAGGGAGCTAGATTGGAAGTGGTATAGCTGGGCCTCAAACCAGTGTCTGTATGGAATGCTGGTGCCTCAGGCAGTGACCACCCACTGTGCCACAGTGCTGACCCCCTCATTTCTTCTTCATGGCTGCACAGTACTCCATTGTGTAGGTGATGCTTCTTGGGTCATTCTCCAGATCTCTCGTATGTGGTCACTTAAATGATTTCCTATATTGTGCTATTTCAAATAATGCCACAGTAAGTGTGTGTGTGGGTGTGGGTGTGGGTGTGGGTGTTGCTGAGAACATAGCTTCAGGAGAGTTTCTTGTACTTGATCAGAAGAGAAATGTATAGCTTGGTGAGATACTGCCAAATCACTCTTCCATAAAGAAAACTGTACCATATCAGCAGTGTTGAAATTACCTGTTTGCCCACCACTTAAGATGTGTTCTTAAGCGTTTTAGTCTTTGTGGACTTGGGATGAGAAACTGTCATTGGTGAGATGGAGTAGAGCCTAGGGAGGGAGAACAGCCTATTTGTATGAGCACTTCCTGGCTTTCTAGTTGAACACAGTAAACTAAACAGAGATTTCTCTCTCCTTTCTCCTATAGCCATTAAAACAGGAATAAAGAAATACAAAGAAAGGGGTGTTAGGCATAGTGGTTAAGACGCTACTTGGGATGGCTGCATCCTTTATCAAAGTGCTTGGCTTTGAGTCCAGCTCTGAGCCCTTTTATACCTTCCTGCTGAGGCACACTCTTGGAGGCAATGGGTGATGGCTCCAACTAGTTGGCTTCTGCAGATCCTGACTGAGTTCCTGGCTCTTGGCTTCCACTGGCTCAGCCTCAGCTATTGTGAACACTTGGGGGAATGAAAGGGGTAGGAGTAGACTGGATTGATCTCTCTCTCTCCCTCTCTACCTTTCAAATAAAACATTTTTTAAAAAAGAAAATATAAAGAAATTGAAGGGTTCTTTTATTCAAACACTACAGTTTTAAATTATGGATCGTTTGCATATTACTTGGGGAAAATGTCTCTTTTAGAACTTTTGCCCATTTTTTTCCTAGTAGTATTTGGTTTTATTTTCCTCAATTGTAAGAATACTTTATAAATGATGTTATCCTTGTGTTTTTTATATATATATATATAAAATTTATTTATTTATTTATTTATTTATTTATTTATTTATTTATTTATTTTTACTTATTTGAAAGGCAGTGTTACAAAGAGAGGAGGAGAGGAGGAGGGACAGAGAGAGAGAGAGATCTTCCATCTGCTGGTTCGCTTCCCAGATGGCTGCAAAGGCTGGTGTGGGCCAGACTGAAGTCAGGAGCCTGGGGCTTCTTCCAGGTCTCACATGGGTGTAGGGAACTAAGCACTTGGGCCATCTTCTGCTGCTTTCCCAGGCACATTGCAGGGAGCTGGATTGGAAATAGGGCAGCTGGATCTTGAACTGGTGCCAATATTGGATGCTGACGTTGCAGGCGGAGACTTAACCTACTACACCACAGCACCAGCCCATGTTTTTTATATGTCTGCCAAATGTTTAAAATTTCCCTTTTAAATTTATGTCTTGTATGTTTTTCCATGAAATTTTTTTTTCCCTTTTGTTTCGTGATGCTTAAGAAACAGGCCCTAAAATGCTGATGGAAAGCTTTATGTGCAAGGTTAGGCGAGGATCTTGGTGCTTCGTGCTGTGTGATCTTATGGTTTAAGAGAAGAATCTATATCCTCTTGTGGAGATGGGTCTAGAGATGGAGGCTGTGTAGAGGGACTTTTTTTTTTTTTTTTTTAAAGAGATTTATTTACTTATTTGAAAGAGTTACAGAGAGAATGAGAGGCAGAGAGAGAAGTCTTCCATCTGTTGGTTCATTCCCCACCTGGCCACAACGGCCAGAGCTGCGCCGATCCAAAGCCAGGAGCTTCTTCCGGGTCTCCCACACAGGTGCAGGGGCCCAAGGACTTGAGTCATCCTCTACTGCTTTCCCAGGTCACAGCAGAGAGCTGGATCGGAAGTGGAGTAGCTGCGACTTGAACCTGCACCCTTATGGGATGCTGGCACTTCTGGTGGCGGCATTACCTGCTACACCACAATGCCAGCCCTGGGACCTTTTTGATATATAGATTTTTAATGATTCCCATTGGCTTTCTTGCCCATTGCCCTGCCTGGTGTCCTCTGTTCTGAACCTTCTCTGGTTCTTTTTCTACAGTAAACCTCCATTTGCTCTAGTGTCAGTTGTGTGACAGTACGTCATGGACTGGGACTCTGGGGGTCTGGTTTTTCTTCAGTCTTTGAATCCATCTTGACTTTAGTCTCATGCATCACCATTGTCTTGGGCATCCGTGGAATTGTAGGTTCCTAAGTCCTAGGAGTATTAGGTAGTGAGAATTGGCTTAACTTTTGTTAGCACTTAGTCTGTTTTCTCAGTCTTGTTAATTTCATCTGTTTTCTTCTCATTAGCTGCTGCCACTTCTCAAACTCTTCTTTATGTCATTTTTATTTTATTATTTTAGTGGGAGAGAGAAGTGCCTCTGTTTAATTCACTTTATTTAACTAGAAAACCATGTGGTTCCTTATTCATAATGTATTTTTTTCTTCTTGGGCTGTGCTTTGTGGGGAGTTGAGTGGCACTCAGCTTTTTAGGGTCACAGTGTTGCACTGTGTTTGAGGATTCTAGGTTTGAGGATGCTAGGACTCAGATGATTCTGCTTAGTGGCTAAAAAATTGACTGGCTGGTTCCCTCTTGTATACCCTGTTTAACTCCAGGGATGCAAGTTTTTCAAGTTCCAAGGAAATTTGATACTGAAATCTGGCTTCGCTTGAAATTTCTTGATCTTCTTCCTGGTTAATCAAATTTTACTGTATGGGGTAGTCTGTGTTTGGTGATTATAGTCATCTGTAGTTTCATTTTGGATGAATCATCTTTCCTTTTTCATTTTGGTAGTTTTCAAGAAATTGAAGTAAAGATGCTTTTATTCCTTTATTTTAAAATGCATTTGATACAGTTTGAAAGATAAGCATTCAAAATCATATATTTCATTTAGGAAGTTCTATACCTGGGTAAGTCACCCTGCCAAAACCTTCCTGCCGATTCTTGACTCATTTGATTGCAGTGAGTTTTGCGTCCCAGCCAAGGGAGCACTGTTCCTGTGCGAGTACACCTGTGCAGGGCTGGAGACCAGCCAAAGCAGGCTCAGTGCTTCTGCTGCTCTCCACACATCTGCTTCCTGCTTTGTGAACCACTTTCCTGTGCTTGCCTGTGCTGTGGTTTCTGTTCTCTGCTAAGTTCAGCTTACACCTGAGCCATCATAGATACGCCAGTCTCTTTACCAACATAGGACCATTCTGCTTCAGCTTTTACTAACTAGCCAGTCTAGTCTGCTGCTGTTTCTTAGTCATATTTTCAAGAAAAACTGATTGGCCCAGCACATCTTTGTGTTCCACTTTTGCTTTGTACCTAGCCTGGGTCAGGTGTCCAGCAGTGTTCACGCTGCTGTGGAAGGGGGCAGGGGAGGAACAGTGGGATCCAGGGAAACCAGGCACTCCTGTAGATGAGCACTGGCTGAGCAGCAAGGGAGCCAGGGCTGGACGGCTCCCTTCAGTGAGAGGGCTGCAGAGAGCGAAATACAAAGCCATCTGTCCTCGGCTATGCCAGTTTACTTTCAGTGGAGTACTTCATGCAGATGCTTAATACTGCAGATTGAACATTGCCGGAAACGAGCTAAAGTGTCAAAATTAACAACAGAGTCTGCCCTGGTTTGATGCTGTTTTCTATTGCATTGTGACTTAAGTAGCCTGGTGTGGCAGAGACTGCTAAAGAAGATATTAGGATCTTAGATTCTAGACCTGTTTTTGCTGTTGGGAAAGGCTTTACATTCCTCATAAGATAAATTTTTGAAAGATTGATGAACTAGAATAGTTTCTAACCTTATGTCAAGCTATAAAATCTTATTTCTCAAAGTGTACTATACTAAATCTGGGGATGTAATTTCCTAAAGAGTAGTCAGAAAAATTAAGCTGTTATATAAAAATCATAAGTTTAAGGTGACATACAAAATTAGAAATAAGTGGGGAATTAGTGGATTAGTACTCATTAGAAGGTGATTTGGGAGTTTAACATTGTTAGATTATACCTTCCTCAATTGAATTTGTTTTATTTGAAGATGGGATTGATGTTTATGAACGAATGAAAAGTCAGGTATTATAGTCACAGACTCTCCCCAGTTTGAGTTGCAAAATATGTCACTGTAAGTTTAATATTGGAGTTTGAAGTTTGTTTGCTCATCCATGATCTTTAAAGATCACAGATGGATATTCAGAATGCTCAAGTAACCTGTGTTTTCTTTACCATTTAGGATTTAAGTGCCCTGTATGCTCAAAATTTGTACCATCAGATGAAATGGATTTGCATCTTGTGATGTGCTTAACAAAGCCAAGAATAACCTATAATGGTAAGTCTGATGCTTTAAAATAATATTAAGTTAGAATTTCCTTACGTTTTATGAATTTTATGTTTCAAGTGTAATTTGAAAGTCAGGAAAGACTGTTTCTTCTGTCTTTACTACTCCATTAAAGCAATGGTTCTCAACTTTTGGTCTCAGGACTCCTTTATACTTTAAAAAAATTATTGAGGACTTCAAAGAGTTTTTGTTTATCTAATAGCTAGCTTTGTCATATTAGAAATTAAGATTTTATCGATTCATTTAAAACCAGATATATTGACATGTTTTAAATGAAAATTGAGTAAATTTTCTAAGGCAAAACATTTAATGACAGGAGTAGCATTGTCTTATATTTTACAAAGTTTTTACTGTCTGGCTTGATGACAAGGAATTCTCACCTCTGTTTCTGCTTTCTGTTTGTTGTAATATGCATGGCATGTGTCGTCTAGAATGGGAATGAAAAAAGCAAATGATGTCTCAGCAGTATTATGAAAAGAGTTTGTAACTCTTTAAGGAAAAGGATCTCAAAGACTCCCCTACCTCCCCTATTCCACAAGATTCTTTGGACCACACTTTGAGAACTACTGCATTGAAATACAGCCTTTTAGTTTAGACCTGAATAAAAATAATGCTGGTGATTGTCGTTTTCAAAAATAAGCGCATGTGGTTGAAAATGCAACTTTTTTCTTTTTGTCTAAGAGTATATAGGAAATGAAGGGTACGTATTTAGGAAGAGAGAAAGTAAAGGTTTATTCAGTAAATATAGTAGATGGATGATGGGGGAAAAGTCAAGAAATGAAGAGAGACCCAAGTTCTGTGGAAGCTTCCGTATTTCTCTGTGTTTCTTCCTGTAGACAAATTGTATATTTCAGGTTGTGAGCCCTGGAGCCTTACTGGTGTGTGTGTTAGATCTGTCTGTCCCATTCTTTCCTGACCAGAGTCTAGATGTTCAAGACCCCTGGGGAAGTTTTCAGTGTAGTACTCTCAGTACACTTTGGAATAGACTTGGGAAAAACAAAGTGAAAAAATTCTCTCATGACTAATACATAGAATAAAATAAAGGAAAAATGTAAGGTTTGCAAAGAATTTTATAAGCAGAGAACAGATTTCAAAAGCTTAAGAGAAATTTCAGATTTTTTAGATGTAAAATTTGATTTGAAATAAAATGAATAGGAAGAGAATCAGTAAAAAAATGATGCCAATTGAAAGATTGAATTAATTCACCAGATACCATTTGAACACCTGTTACATATTTAGGTGTTGTGTTACAGTATACTAATAATCACTGATTTCTTTGAGCTGAGATTTATTGATTAAAGAAAGGTAATAGGGGCCGGCACTGTGGCACAGTGGGTTAATGCCCTGGCCCGAAGTGCCGGCATCCCATATGAGCACTGGTTCGAGACCTGGCTGCTCTACTTCCAATCCAGCTCTCTGCTGTGGCCTGGGAAAGCAATAAAGATGGCCCAAGTCTTTGGGCCCCTGCATCCATATGGGAGATCTGGAAGAAGCTCCTGGCTCCTGGTTTCGGATCGGCGCAGCTCCTGCCATTGTGGCCAATTGGGAAGTGAACCATGGGATGGAAGACCTACCTACCCCTCCCTCCCTCCCTCCCTCTCTCTCTCTCTCTCTCTCTCTCTCTCACCCCCTCCCGCACACCCAGTGCAGCTTCAGGTCCTCTCTCTCTGTAATTCTGACTTTCGAATAAATAAATAAATCTTTAAAAAAAAAAGAAAGGAGGGTATTAAATGAAAATATAATGCTTTCTTAATTGGAGTTTTATCCTCTAGTAACAGAATCATAGAGAAAGGTGGAATTTAACATTGAAATGTGCATGTTACTGTGGCTAACATTTTACAGAATGATTTAGGAATCTTATGCACACACACACGCACTATAGTCTTTTTGGTCACACTGTTAGAGCACGTTCCCCATTCATTTGCCAATGAATATGTGAAAATGCCATGTAGCAATTATGTCAATACAGTGTCTTTACGGTGTCCTTAAATCTTAAGCCTCTGGCCTTGAATTTTTAAAATGCACATATATTTCCTTTGATGTTGTAATATAGCAATTTTTTTTATCATATTCTGTCCAGTTACTTTTTGTGTAACATAATCTAGAATACAGTCTTAGGTGTTTTTGACAATTTTTTAATTTCCTGATTTAACTTTGCTTAAGCCACTAAACTTTTCTGTTAATCACTTGTTTGATGTCTTAAAGAATCAGTATATAATCTGCTTGGAGATGCTGTAAACCAGATTGAAATTTTAAATTTGATAGCATTCCAGTTCAGAAATTAGAGATCTTCCATCCATTAGTTCACTCTCTAAATGTTCTCAACAACCAGGACTGGGAAGTACTTGTGCCATCATCTGCTGCCTTCGGAGTCATGTTTTAGCAAGAAGCTGGGTTGGAAATGTAGTAGAGCCAGGACTCAAACTGGTACTCTGATATGGGGTGTACATGTCCCAAGTGGTAGTTTAATCTGCTGTGCCACAATGCTGGCTCCCTAGACTCTGATCTTTTAAATATATGTTAACTGTCTATAAACATTCACAATTAGAAACAAAAATAACTTCATAAAAATTATATCTAGTTTTTGAAGTTTTAAAAGTAAGCCCTTTGGTACCAGTGGTGCTAAGTTACCAGTAGATTAAGCTGCTGCCTGCTGTGCCAGCATTCCATATGAGTGCTGATTCAAGTCCCAGCTGTTCCACTTTGGATCCAACTTCCTGCTAATGCACCTGGGAAAGCAGCAGAAGATGGTCCAAGTACTTGGGCCCCTGCCACCCATGTTAGAGATCTGGGTGGAGTTCCAGGCTCCTCGCTTCAGTCTTGGTCTGTCTTGACTGTTGCCACCATTTGTAGGGTGAACCAGTGGATGTAAGATCAATCTCTCTCTCTCTCTCATACTTTTTGCCTCTCTCCCTTTCCCTCCCTCCCTCTGTCCCCTCGCCCCCCCTTCTCTTGTCTCTCCTCTCTCTCTCTCTCCCCCTCTCCCCACTCTCTTTACTCCTTCCTCTTCCCCCGAGTCTCTGCCATTCAAATAAATAGACTTTTTTTTTTTTTTTAAACTAGCCCTGGCGCTGGCCTTGTGGCATAGCAGGTAAAGCCGTGTCTAGATGCTTGCATCCCATATGGGTACCAGTTCATGTCCTGGATGCTCCACTTCCAATCTACCTCCCTGCTAATGGCCTGGGAAAAGAATGGAAGATGATCCACTTTCTGTAACTCTTTCAGAAAAATTAAAAAAAAAAAAAGCCTAGTCCTTAGACCGTGGCCAGCTATAGGCAAATGAAGGAAGGAGCTGTGTGGAAGGCAGTGTGGTACAGCCCACATCCCATATCAGAGTGCTGGATGCCAGCTTCCTGTTTGCCTACATTGGTGAAGGAGTCAGATGATAGCCTGCCACCCACACGGGAGACTCGGATGGGGTTTCTGACTCCTGGCTTTGTTCTAGCCCAGCCCTGGCTGTTGTGGGCCCGTTGGGGGATGAACCAACGGATAGGAAACCTCTCTGTCTGCTTTTGAAATAAATGAATAAGTAATTAAGAAAAGCATTTTGAGTGGATTGATTTGGAGGATTACAAAGGGTTGGTAGGTTGGCAATGTGCTTTCCAACTTAGGCTCAGGGAATTCTAAAACTACTGTGTTTTAAAGGCAGAGCCCCCAAAATACCACTTATCACAGATGATGAGCCTGTATGAAAACTGGCCTCTGTAATGCGTAAGAAAGTCATCTGGGATTATTATAAATTTTAGAATAAGTGAGTCAGAATATCTGAACCTGAGTCTTTTTCATTATGTGGACCCCATACAATTTCATATTTGAATTCCTAAATGTTGATTGCATAAAAATATGTATCAGATTGGGCCTCTAAATTGTATAAATGCTCAAATAAGAAAAGTTTTTTCAGCATAATTTACTAACTTACACCTTTTGTAACTTTTCCTAAGGTAGCCATGTCTGAAATTTTTGTTTTTTGCATATTGATTTAATGATCTATGAATATTTAGCAAGGACAGTAGTTTGGGCTACTCTTTTCACCCTGGTTATGTTTGTAGACAAACTACCAAATAGAATGAGTTCAGAGATTTCAATATAAATTGGTGATTTAATTTCAAACGTATTCTGACAGGGAAAATGTTTTAAATATTGATTTTGTTTTCAGACTAGCCCATAGATTACTTATTTTTAATCCATAGATTGGTCAGAATATGCAAATCCTGGTACCTAAAGAAGAGACTTGACTAGCTAAGTGGATAAAGCTGTTTGTTGCAGGTGATATTTTGGCAGGATGGAAAATTTTTTAGTGCCACAATGAGTTTTCATCAATATGTATTGCTTTTTAAGTCAGGAACTACCTATTTCAAGTAATTTTATCTCTTCTGTGTACTTCATTGTTTGGTTTATGGACCTAGTAATTCCTTGTGTTGTCTATGAACCTTATATAAAATTAATGAATTTAGAGTCTTTTCCTTGTTCCTCATCCTCTAAAATGTTTAAGAGTGGCGAACAAAAAGAAAAAAATGAATTAAATGTTATTTAATTTGCCACCTTGGTCTTTAAACTTTGCTGTATCATGGTGTGTCTTACATCATACCAATGTCAGTTTTTACTTTAGACTTTGAGATTAAAAGCCATAAGATATATATATTTAAAAGCTCTTTGTTCTATGATTATGTGTGCATGTGTATCTGGAGGAGGTACAACCTGAAGTTGTCTTCCTAGAGTTGAATTTTAAACTCAAATGTTGAATCAGAGCAATGCTATTCAAAATCATGAGCAAACCAACTCTGCACTGAGCAGGATTTCACTATTACTCTGTAAACATATTTGAAGAAAGATTGAATGAAACTGAAGGCCACTTGTTCTGTAGTGAAAATGAGACAAAAAGACCCCAACTTAAATGCTGTCCTTGGGAGAATTTGATCTTGTCAGGCTCACCCAGATGCTGCCAATATGATGGTATCTGGCAGTTGGCCTTGATGGGTCCCCTTGTGCGC